CTTTTGGATCACCCTAGAACTTATTAACATGGTCTCTGGTAGTTATTTTTTAAGACGTCTTAATTTCTCAAAAGATTTTTCTATACATATGTTTAAATCTTAGTTTTCCCTAAAAATACAGGTTTTTAATATTATTTTTAATTGTATAATAGCATTTTATTCGTTATTTCGGTGATTAATAGTTGTTTAATAATCATTTATATGTGTAATAACTTTTTAATAAAATTTATAATTTTATTTATCTGAATATTGAATGGATTTTAATATATTTTTGTTGTACACAAATTTGTAACAGTTAGATTATAATATGTATGTGCATCCTGTGCACATGCGTAGCATGGGATAATGTGAACCATAAAAAAACATTAAAGAAACAGCTTACACTTACAGTCGATTCCAGTTGAAATGTTTCTTTCAGTACTGATGTGGCATGAAATACAACCAAACAGATTGTAGGTTAAAACGGTCCCAAAACGTTTTTTGACCATTAGCCGATTCTTTAAGAAACGAATTGGCCCTGAAACGCATTGATGCCAAATAATCGCAAAATCCCAGCACCATAAACAATGCTCTAGGAAATGCATGTTTGTTTAGAACTATTTTTTCATAAAAAACGGTGCTCCAAGTCACACTTTGGAAATTGAGAAGTCATGGTTTGGAGCAATACCAAATTTGGCGTTTTCTCAAATTGCAACTCATTGCTGCCAACGAGAATGTAATATGGTAGTGATATGGATTTTCTATAATGGGTATCAGTGCTGAAAACAAACATGGAGCAATGGTATCAAACAGAAAGTGTTGTTGCTCCAGGAAATGTCTTACTTAACAGCAATTTTTTTAAACACAAAAATATATATAATAAAAAAATGGTATTTCCAACCCACACGTCAGCAGTGTTGTATTTGCAGCATTGATGCCAAACATATACCAAGTAAATCAAACTTAAAGGAGTTTTTAGAAATGGAATTATGGGAATTAGGAATATTATAAAAAATGAAGGTATTTTAAAAATTGGATTATGTGATCTTAGAATTTTGAAATTTTAAAAAAGAAAACTTAGGAACATTTGAAAAATTAATAAAAAGTTCAAAAAATTAATAAATTTATCATCGGATTCAGAATAAATTCTAGAGGTGTCAATGGACTGTTTTGAATTTAACTTCATCCAAAACAAAATCAATTTGACGAATTGGGTGGATTATATATTTAATTGGACTAGTCAAAATTCAATGATCCTATTTGATGGATTTGACTGGACCTGGTTCATTCATAATTAAAAGTATAAATGGGTCGAAATTGAATCATCGAATTCGATTCCGATTATTTCGATTAAAAAAATCGATATCCGAATACAATAATTTGAATCCACTCAACATTACAACAGAAAAATAAAATATTTGTAATTAATCAATCAATTATGCATCATAATACAGAATTCGTCGAAGCTAAGCATGCCATCGTCATTGAGATCAAACCGACTAATCATGATGCTACATTCATCCATCGGCCTCGACATGCCTAGTCGACTAAGCATCCTTTTCAAACTCCTGGCTGTAATGAACCCAGAACCATCCATCTCATACATTCCAAAGGCTTGTCTCGTATCCCTCATCTTCTCCTCTTCTCCTTCAGCTTCCATTAAACCAACGAAATCGTCCAACTCCAGCATTCCGTCTCCATCTGAGTCCAGGCACTCAATCACCGCCTCAGACTCTTCCAACAACAACTCCCCACCACCTATTCTCATTACACAAGCCTGCAGTTCAGAGGGCGAAATCTTACCGTCTCTGTTCTCATCAAAGTAGTGGAAGACACCTTCGTATCGGTTGACGTCGAATTTATTCATTTCTGTGAGGAAATTGGAATGGAGCGGTGTATAGAGATCGAGAGTGAGAGAATTAACGAACTTGCAACGAGAGTCTGCAGCGGTGAATGATGCAAACGAAGATATGTATTTATATGCTTTCTCAGTGGCTGACCGCGTCTGTTACAGAAGGAGAGGGAGAGGAACCTGCTTGACCTTTACGAAGAAGATACCTCCGATGGCGAAGAATTCTGTGTAGGTGGAATTCCCATCGGCTCGACGGCTCCCACGCAGCTGCGAATCACACGCGCCCTACATCACATTCCAACCGTGTGAATCGAGAATGACAAGTACCTGTACGGGTGGGGCCGCGGGGAAAAGCGAGTGAGATCACATATGCGCCCACAAAGGGGCGTCCCAAACTGAGTTCACATCTGCGCCTCACAATGCCCTACAGTGCATCTCACTATTGGGAATATATCTCGATTAGACCTGTTCATGGGTCGGGCCAGGCTTTTACTGTGTATTAACAAATTTTTTTAAGGCCCGAGCCCGAGCCCGGCCCGACCATCGGGCCTACAATTTGGGCCCGAGCCCGGCCCTCATAAAAAGCCTGAA